AACAAGCAGCTAGAGAAATGTAAAGGGACATTCTGCAGAAATAAAAGCGGGAAGAAGTCACCGTTAGCCTAGCTTAGCATAAGGACAGGAAGCAGGTGGAAATGGCTAGCCTGGCTCTGTACGAATGAAAACGTAACTCAAAGCATCTTTAAAGTCGGTCTTCATTCCCAAGATGTCAAAGAACAATCCTTTAACATCCCGCCTGGGGTCTCATGTAGGGGTCAATCAATCACTATTTGTATAGCGCCAATTCATAACAAGTGTTATCTCGAGATGCTTTACAAAAGAGCATATGGGAGAAGATGCAGGAAGGATTTCTTCTTTGTATTCCTCGCGTTCCTGTTGTCCACAGTTCCTCCCCGCTGAGGTGGAGGTTGGAGCAGGAAGTGCAGTAATGAGGACGTTGGTGGTTGTGGGACGACACAGTCCGATGGTGGAGTCTGAGCGTCAGGGGCGTCAGGTGGTAGTCGTGTCAGATCACCTCGCTTAAGTTTGGGGGATGTAACTAAGCAACTTATTTCAAAGCCGATTAAACGTTAATTTAAATTCAGACTATAGTCTTGGGTTTAGAAAACACTCAACTGAGCACAATTTATTTAAGAATTGTCTGCTTGCAGCGACGGATAGCCAAGCGGTTATATCGCGCACCCTTTGTACATCAGCTATATTCCTCATCGCAGCGACCATGAGTTGATCATAAAGAGCTGGGTCTTTAGCTTTTTCTTAAAGGTGCAGAGGGACTCTGCAGATCGAATGGTGTTTGAAAGTTCGAACCACCACCGGGGGGCGACAGAGGAGAAGAGTCTAGGGGGGGGGGAGTGTAGACCTGGATGTTTTACTGCACTCGTTTTTTGTGAGCGCTCGATCTCGGCTGTTTCTCACTTCAACCCTCGCACCAAAAAAAAGAAGAAAAAAGAACTATTGTAATAAAACAATCGTCTGTTTCTGCTGTCCGGTCTGTGTCAGTGGAACTATCGCAGCATTTTTCCAGAACATTATTCATTTGAAACCCATTGACCGCGATCAATAATGCATCGCTTCATGCGGCGTTATCAACGAGCTGCTGTCAGAACGGGACCGCCACTGATGGAGGGCAACAGAAGAACAAATATCTAGAATGAATCCAGCACTGACTAAAGTGAGATCTGATAAAGAGAGAGAGAGAGTCTGAGATGAGAAGAGAATATTAAAAAAGAGAGCAAAGCGATGAAGAGATCAACAATACGGCCCTGGAGGGAAAACACTGTCACCCCACTTCCTCAGTTTCAGGTAATTTTGAGTAAACAAAACCAGATGTTCAAACAGAACAGGCACTCAGATGTATTCACAATGAGATGCAAAGTGGGGCTTTGGCTTGTGTGCATGTGTGTGTGTGTGTGTGTGTGTGTGTGAGGATGGATTTTAAATACTAAGCAGTTACTAGTTTGCTGCTTAAATCTTGCACAAAAAGACAAATGAATGTGAACAATTATTGAACTTAGAAAACATATTAAAGCTCTCCTTATTACTGCGCTGCAGTGGGTAATTAGGGGAGGAATTGTCGGGAGAATTTCATGTATTTTTGGGCTCATTATTGTAAAGTCTGTGAGTTTCAGGAGGCTGCTGCTGCTGCACAGTTTTGTCCTACAGTCAGAGCTCATCAGACAAGAAGAAGGAAAACCAGGGTTGGGAAAAACTCTCCTGGTAAAACAAAGAAGATTTAATCAAAAGTACGCCACAGGGAATGTACAGGTAGCTGCTGAAAAGTCGGGTAACAAAAACTTCTCACTGTATTTATTCTGAACCCTTTTCTAAATTCATGCAACATTCTTATTTTAGTTTTTTTTTAAGAGTTAAAGGCAGGGTTGGTCATTTTCAAAAACTAGCATGATTTTGAAAGTAGCATTCCCTCAGTGCTCCGTCTGCACCTCCTCCCCTCTGTGCTCCCTCTAAAGCCACGCCCCCTCACTTACATGCACGAGCGCTGTTGCTCCAGAAGTGGACCTCAGCTCATCTCTGTCATTGTGTAGAAACTACGTCGTCTCATGTCTCATTCAGCGGTCAGTAAACTCTCAGTATAAACTCTGAAGTCATCGGTGACGAGCTTTGAGTGTAGAGAGCGAGCAGGGAGACAGGGAGGCGTCTGATTGGTTCATCAGATTGGTACCTCGTGGCAGACATTGGTTGAAGTTTTTACAGACTTACAAACTGATACAGATGATGGATTTTCTTTGTTCCTTTTTCAGAGAACATGAGTTATTAATGTCTGTCAGGACCTAAAGACAATTTACACCAGAATCTTTAAAAAGTGGATCTGAAGGAAAACACCAACCCTGACTTTAAAATGCGAAAGAGGGAATTCAAATATGTTTGACTTCCTGTGATCTGACCTTGCAATTGCAACCAAATTGGAAGAAAATACACAGCAGTGCAATATTTTTTTTGCATATAAAAGTCCATTTGCTCCTGGACTCACAGGCTCAGACAGATAATAGAGAACTAAAATATGTGAAGTAAAAGTCAGTCCCGACAAGAAGGAAATAGCAATTCTAATATTCGGGAGCACATCCCACATCGCAAATTACCATGGCGATATCATTCTGGGAATTGATTACTAAATCTTCCTGACACGCTGATCCAATCTGACACCAATAATGACTTCATGCAGGCGTCCAAACAAGCCAAACAAACAAGTATTACAAACCAATTTTTACAACAAAGCATTCCCATGAGAAAGGCTCAGGAGGCATGAATACTTGTTTTTAAATAAAACCCTGAATTCTTCTGTGCCTCCACTCTTCGGTTTCTCTTTGCGAGCTCATTGTTTGGCTCTTTTTTTTCTTCAGGTGGTCGCAGAACTGACCGGGTTCCCTGACTAAATGCAGTGTGACACATTTTCTCTCCGACCATGCTTGACCCCCTACTGGACATGTCCCACATGGTGACAGGGTGGCAAAAATTACATGACATGGGTCACTAAATATAGCAAGAAAGGTTGCCAAGAAAGGTGCTAAGAAGTAAACAAGAGATGAACGCTGGGGTTTCCTTTTTTTCAGGTGAGGCCGCTCTCTGCTCCCGTCATCTCTGAGGGAGTCCATGGTGAGGCGGATATTCAAACCAGCCGTTCTGGATGCTTCCTCGGCTCCCAGTGCTTCAGCTCTTAATGACTTTAGTGCAACACATAAAAATAATATTTAGCTGCTCTCCCTCAAAGGCCGGACAAACTGCACAACATTTGTTAATATGCAAACAGCTGATATAAATTCACTATGATGAATAAGCAGCTCAATAATATCTAGCAGCACCTTCTCTTCTTAGACTGACGCTAATAATAGTTTTATTATCTGACCGTAATCATTTGTTTTCATTTCCCCTTGACTGAAAATAAATCTGTACTCTCCTACGCATGGAGAGGTCTCTCTCTTCAGTATCCCAATCTGATTATGTTCAGATTTTTCAGCGACTTAAATATGAAATTGTCTATTTCCATTTGACAGTCTATTCATTAGGTTGTCATTAACCTCAAGGATGTTACAAAACTCTACAACTCACATTCACTTTACAATTCATTAAGCAGCTGAGTGATGAACATTCACAGTATTTATATACACACCACAATTTTTCTTATTTTATTACAAATTGAAAGCAGTTTTTCTATCCAAACAGGAAGTAAATGAACCTAAGCTTAAAGGGGACATATTATGAAAACAGTGGGATTCTGGTAAAAAAAAAAAAAAATCCCCTCCCCTCCCCTGGTAACTCCACCCCCAGCCTAGAGCAAAACTTTTGTGCAGGTCCATCATTTTTATTCTCGCTAGTGAAGGAGTGATATCTGGGGGGGGGGGGGGGGGGGGGGGGCTCATTGCATTTAAAGAGACAGACACACCAAAACGGAGCGTTCTGAGAGAGCTGGTTTATACAGGGTCACAAACCTCCTCTGGTGCTTGATTCATGTTATATTTTGACCAAAGCACAGCACAGATGTTTCATTTAGACCACAGGGGACTGTTTGAAAAGGTGGAGAAGGATAATACGTCCTCTTTAATGACAGTACAAAATTACAAAATAAAAGCATGACAAAACTATATTGAAATGCAAGATAATGGAATTTCAAACATGTGATTAAAAAAACTATAAATCATGATTAACTATTGAATATCAGCATTTTCCATTGGAAAAAAATGATTGTTTAACAGCAGACATTTTTTCTACTTTTAATCATTAAGGATCAAAATTAAAACCTCCACTAGTCAAGACAGATTTGCTAAAACGATCGATTAAAAAAAAGTTGAAAAAATGACGTAAAAAAAAAATCCTGTTAAGATATTTAAAAATTAGCTGTTTCTTATTGTTCTCCCTGTTTACATGTTTTTGGTACTTTTTTGTGTCTGCTTTTCTAAAAGTAGAGTCAAACTTCATTTATAGGCTGTTAAACCATTCAGTGCAAATTGAGCTCACAAATCTCTTGTTTCACTATTAAGTTGTTTTTCCCGTAAAAATCTGCCCGGCCAGACTCTATTACAGTCCCATCAGGCGCCGCAGGACTGTGATTTGTTTTTGTGACTCTTTGAGGAAGTTGGCATAATTACAGCTGTTAGACAGGATCTCATCTTGAAGGTATTTTAATACCTGCAGTCAAACCACTTCATCACTCTACAGAGGGCTGAATTAAGAGCAGATGCAGAGCGACCGAACCCCGATAACATCTCCATTCATTCAGCTCTGTGTGCTGTAAAGTGCAGGGTGCTTTAGTCTCTGCTGAGGGCCGGCACTGTATTTTATCTTCTGCAGCTCCTGAGGCGTTTACAGCGAGCAGTGAGCGCCTTTAAAAGCTGCCTTTAATCAGAGAGCGAGCTGTGACTGCTACATGCAAAGAAACGTTTTTTTCTGAGGTTTTTTTTTTCCCGATTGTTAAGGAAGAAAAATATGGTAGCAGGAGCGGAGAGCAGGAATCACCCTCTGCAGCTGCAGTAGTTTGTAAGACAGACGGAGTGTGTTTAGGCCCCGGGCTGTTGACTTACCCCTGTTTGACTGCTTTGTTCTTGTTCACATCGATGGTGGTGATGGAATGCTTGGCGCCCGACACCACCTCCCACTCCACCTTCCACTGGGCGTTCTTGGACTTAGTCTGGATCAGGTTCACCCCTTTCTTCGCTTTGACCCTGCAGGAAATAGAAAAGAGGGAGGGAAGAGGGGAAGAAGAGAAGAAAAACAAACGAGGATGAGTCAATTTTATTAGAGGTGGAGGATTTATGTGTGAGGTCAGAGGTCGCAACCCTCCGTGTGCTGCGGCCCATCCTTCTCGCATTGCGTCATGACAGAAGCAATTCCACAGATGAATCAATAACAGAGATGAATGGAGATGGCAGTGTGATGATACATGAGGCCAGGAGGCCCCGGACCACCTCAGGTCACGGTGTTCAAGAACACTTTCTATAAAATCAAATCTTCCAGGATTTACACCGCACCCACCGGACATTTCCACGGCTTTTACTTCTGAAACACTTCCGATTTACAGTGCATGGTTTGGAAACACACACAACTTTTAAATCCTACAAATCACAGATGAAACAATATTGGACTTCCTTATATGACATGATATCAGGATAACTTCATCCTATAACCCTCTCCTCCTCAGGGAGAACAGACTGTACAAGCAGGTCAGATGAAGCTCGAGCAGAGGAACCCTGGAGAGGGAATGGGTTCACACTCTTTGCTCAAGGACACTTCAACATGGAGGACAACTTATATCTCTGGAATTCACATTAAAAACACAGAACTGAAGTGTAGACGTTTTATATTTCCACATTTATATCGCCTCGTTCAAATGCAGGAGAAAAAAATCACGATGAAAATGTGAGTACTTATCAAGCACTTGTCTCACATCAAATCCAGGAAATTAGTTAATCAAAGTGAAACTAAGAAACATGCGTCAAACCCTCAAGACTCGTTGAAACCCGCCCACACATTACTTTGTGTAACGATGGAGAGAAGAGATCAAACAGATTCCTTCCTTCTGACATGAAATACAGCCAAGCAGCGACCTCCGTGTTGAAGATGAAACCAATGAGGAAGTGCAAAAAAAAACGAACAAACTGCAGTTTCTCGAGTGTCCACTAGAGGCTAGCTGCCTCAAGAAATCGTGAGTAGAGCCCATATTAAACATCCATGTACAGCAGAATAAACATGTTTACAGCCTGGTCTGTATAGCTCATGTGTTTATTGGTACACTCTGTACAGGTGGTGATTTTTTTTTTAACTCGTCCTTTCCAATTTAATTAAGCCTTAGTTATTCATAAATTTGCAAACATAGGGGTGTGACTACGTTTACTGACAGGTGGTAGCAGGATGCCAGAGATCTTAAGGCCCACCTTGTTAAAGGGATACTTCACCCGTTGAAACATGAATCTGTATTGACATTGGGTCATATATGTAGAAATGTGAAATACATTTTGAAGTTGGTGCCTTCTTGACTGAGAAAAGGCAGAAAGTGTCTTTTTGGTACATGTTGATGAAAGACACCAAATCCCAGAATGCACAGCACCGCAGGCCACTCCCACTAAGGTCCTCTATTTCAGTATCAGAATCAGAAATACTTGATTAGCTTTCTCCATTGAGCCTGGTGAATATGGTGAGTTCCCACCCACTGACCTGTGATTGGTCTGTAGCTTCAGTGGTCGAAAATATGAGGAAGTAGTGTTGTAGTTTCACCCCGCTAACCGCAACAGCTTCCAGTGACGCAAAAATCGTCATTTTGCGTCAGTGGAAGCTCCTTTACAGACTCAGAAATACAAAGATTTCCCACCTCAGGAGAAAATGAGGGCGGGATGCACGACCGTTCAAAAATACTACCAGGTTTCTACTGATACAAAGATTAATGCTAATGGGTGAAGTATCCCTGTAAGGTCACTTCTGGCTGCATAAATCCAAGATGGCTACTGCCCTAGTGGAAAGCTGTAGGATTCACAATATCCACTCCCTATAAGCAGTCTATGGAACAAATATATACAAAATCCAGAGAGATTTAAAGTGTTGGATATGATGTGGTTTGTAGATAATCCAGCTCTGAGCTTGGTGTGCAGCAAGTAGTGTCACATTTTTGTAAAAACTGTCGGCTTTGATTCATTTTTCACATTTAAATTTAGTAGCAGCATCCACATATGGGCAGAGTCACACCGAATGGAAATATTAAATGTTGGAAAAAAGATGTTCAAACTGTGAGCGTTAAGCAGGGAGGATTTCCTGAACCTTTTCTGGCTCGTACCTGCTGCAACTCAAACGAATCGGGGATCAGCTGGGGGGGAAACTTTGCAAGCCTCCAGAAACTGCCTCGCCTTTTAATGTGAATCTTGATGACAGCGCTGCTTTCTTCTACCTTAAAACCAAGAGCCAGGAGACTCTTCACATCAATGACGAATAATTAGATTTTTCAATCAGCTGGGCAGAAAACCGGTTTTGGCAGCTGTCCTCTGTGACTTTACCTTGACGAGCTATTAAGGCGTCCACAGGAACTGAATACTAACCAGCAGAGAGAGAGAGGGGGAAAAGAAAAACACAAAAACAAAAGCACTCTTTGCCTGGTTATTGTGATTCTGCTCATTTGACCACAGAGCCACGCCCCGACTCCTGCACCGGTGGAAACAAACAAAGATCATCCACAGACATGCAGAGCCAACAGAGAGTATTGATCCGAGGGTCTCATTTCCATGAAATATGAGATAGAGATGAATTATTAACACGTGTTTGGCTGTTGTTTGTCTGCCTTCTCGACGGTTACGTTAACAGTAACCCTGCAGCCCGAGAGGAACAAAGAAAGTCGTCTATAGATTCTGTGATGATAACACGATGGAGGCAGTGGAGACCAAAAGGTTGCGGCTTTGCTTTCTGAGAATTTGAGGCCAATTCTGAATTTCCTGCAGAACTTTAAAGGATCTGAACGATTTCGCCTTGTTTGCAGGAAAACACAGTTGTTTCCTCTGAGATCACGGCATTTCCGAAAAGACAAACAAAAAGCTCAGTCTGGACAAACTTCACTGAGAGCATTACCCCAAATCCTCTTTTTTTTTCCATCCCTCAAGTGTCCCTCATTTGCATTCGACGGAAAACTTCAGAGGCTCCTTCAGCAGCATCTTCCACATCATTCCATTTATTTCTTTGACAGATAAAAAAAAACTCCCCCTGCCGAGGTGTTTCCATTTGCTACGCTAACCTGCGCTCAGTGCGTCGACCACTCATCCATGATTTTGTGAAAGCAATTGACTTTCAGCCCGAGATGTGTCTCCCCCCCCCCCCCCCCCCCACCTTCAGACAGAAACAGGCACACATCTCAAACAGAGCCCCGTGTTTTAACGAGCACAGTCCTCCACTCTGCTTCTTATTGTGTCTTAGAATGTGGTAATTGGAAAATTTGCATGTTAATTAAAAACCATTAATGGATAATTAGCCATTGAGCAATTAACAATTTGATTCTTTCTTGGGTTGAATTTCCTAGTTCATAGAACTGCTGTAAAAATATCCACCAAATTAACAGATTAACAACCCAACAGACCTTAGGTCATTACTGTCTGAAATAACAGCTATTGTTAGCGCATTGGCCAGAACTTGAAGACTGTACATAAACATAGTCTCAGTGAGGTCACCCATTAGTTACTGAAGGAGACTTCAGTCTGGGTGGGTGCCATTTTGAAAATACTGTCTCAACCTAACTTTTGGTCAACCATAACCATTGGCCTTACTTTGGATAAACGCAGAAGAAGAAGCAGACACAACGAGGTACTTCTACCTTATAAAGGCCATACTGAGCAAATAATCATAATAACATGATCCTAATTCATGTAAAACAACTTCCTGACTTATTAAAATAAGCGGTAATAAGGAGGTTAGTGAGGGCAAACTCTCAGTTAATGACCTGTTATGTATAGACTATGGTGATGTAGAATAAGGTACTTACTAAGCAGCCAGTACGCTAATAACTAGCTAATAGGCTACTAGTTAAAGCTGAATATTGTCACCTTAATTTAAAGTCTAAATACGCTTCATGTTTCTGTAACACTAACATGTGTCTCTAGTCTGTCTACAAACCCCACAATGATGAGAAAAGTCCATCTTCTCCGTCTTCTGCCTGCTCCACTTTTCAGAAAATGTGTGCCGTTTGGAGATTTTCCCTTCATGACATCACAAAGGGCAGTAGCCCCTCCCCCAGGTGGGTGACACTCCCACAGCTAGGTGTTTGTTCTTCCCTCTGAGTCTGCCTTCTCACCGTAAACAATAGGACATGGAGTGTGGTCAGACACAGCTCATTTACATATTTAAAGGTACAGACACAGAAACAGCCTGTTCTGAGCAGGGCTGAAATAGAGGGGTTTATAGACATGATCAAATACAGGATCAGAGTGGATTTAGAACAAGAAACTTCACACACATGTTTTGAGGAGCTCTGAGACTTATTTAAACTGAAGAAGAGGAGGAGGATATGTGACCTTTAAAAAAATGTGCTTCAATTGTGCCTTATCTTTCCAGCTTTTTGGTTGGCAAGTCAAATATTAATGAAAAGGTGGGCGGGGTGGGGGTTGCTAAGGGTATCTGATTCATGACATTGTGATCTACACTATACAACATTGACTCGACTTGCTTTTGCATTTCCTCTCCTCAACACGTCATGCTCCAAATCCTCCCATCAGACAAAAAAAAAAGATGTGTTCTGCTTTTCCAATGAGCCTGAAGTAAACAGACGCTGCAGCTCTCACAGGTTGCAGCTTTAACAAACATTGTTTCTGGTTATTGCAGCTCTTATTGTCTTCTTTCATCAAGCCTCCCATATTAAGAGGAGATACAGTAATTATCTGACAGGGCGGCGTCACAAGGCAGATGAAACGGAGACGTGTAATGTTTAAGAAATCCTCCCGATCAGGCGTGTGTTGCCTTTGACGTGAAGCTGAAAAGGAAGAAAACTCAATGCCCTCAGACTCTCGTTTAAATGAGGTGACCTGATTTACTTGATCACTGCTCGTAAAAATTGCTGATCATAAGAGGTGATAATTGCATTTTATAACCATGACAAACCATTTCTAGTTCATTTCTTGGCAGAGATGCAACCTTGATGAGAGAAACTTGTTTTTACATTTATTAGCTCCACTCACCAACAGTTTAAAAAAAAAAACAC